CTGACGGGTCAAAAACATTATACCCCCCGCAACTAGTTGCGTGGGGTATAATAAGTATAACATTAATTAATTTCCTCAATTCAAGCAAAGTCATTTACAATTTTTGAACTGTATCCAAACACTGCATGCAGCTAAATGAATATGGTTTGCCGTGTGCATTTAGAAATGAACCTTTGGCATACATGTATACATGGAAGTATTCTGGCATGCATTGAATCTTGCTAAATATACGCAATCACAATTTTTACTATTTATTCTCATTAGGCAAGTTAAAATGTGTTAACATGCTAGCACTGTGTAAAACAGAAATGACATGTGAACTGTTGAAATACAGAATGTGTTGCATGCAAAAAGGTGCGTGAGTCACAGTTTACTTTAAGTGATATTAAAGTATATATATGTGTTATAATGAGGTTGATAAATACCATTATAATTTATACACTGTCACATCCACTCTTGAACACATTTAGATATCTTAATTGAATACAAATCAATTTGTACTTCACTCTGTATTATCTGAGGGAAACTTGCAATTGGTCAGAATCAAAAAAAAATCTTTATGAATTCCTTATATGTAAGTTATACTGTACATGTACACAGAACAAAATGAAACTTTACAGCACTATGATATACTTTTGTAACAATTTCATTTCACCCACATGGAACACAAAGAAATATAGGGCATTGCCATTTGACACTTGAAAAAAAAAAATCTATACTAGTATGTCATATTATAATCACTGTATTTGATATTTCAAGTATACTACATAAAATAATTAATATATTTCACTTTCTGCCCCAAAAACAATACAAACAAATAACAAGAAGTCTGTGAGCCGATGCTACATGTAATTAGTAATACCCCTGAGGTGAATATACACTCTCGTGAATCCTATCATATGGCATGCTTAAACTAAGAGTTTGCTAAAATTTCAAGCATCTGCCTTGAGTAGTTACTGAGAAAACTGTGACAGAAATTTGGTACGGACGGACACGCAAAAAAAAGGAAGTTGACATCAGATTTGTAAAAAAATGAATCCCAGCATTTGGCATGACTATACAAAGATTGTGCTAAAATTTCAAGCACCTGCGATGAGTAGTTGCTTTGAAGACTGTGACATAAAATTTTTACTGACAGATGTACAGATAAACAGGAGGTTGAGATAAGATTTGTACAAAAATGATTCCCACCATGTGGCATGCCTAGAAAAAGAGTGGGCTAAAATTTCAAGCAAAAGCAATAAGTAGTAGCTAGAAAACTACACGGAAAATTTGGTACAGACAGACACACGAATAAACAGGAAGTTGACATTTGATTTGTACAAAAATGAATGCCACCATATGGCTTCAAGCGTATATGTGTTGTGTTGTTGCTGAGAAAACTGCACCAAAGAATTTGTTATGGACAGACACACAGACAGACACCAAGGGTAAAACAGTATAGTAACCCCCTCTCCTTCAGAGCGGGTGTAAAATTAGAAGTACATACTTCAATATACTTATTAAAAAATTTGATCAACTACTACCGGTGATCATTTTAATTTGATATTTCTACAACAAATGTTTTATTTTTATTAAGTTAACATGCCAGAAGAAAAAAGAAACTAACTTGAAGTCAATAAAAATATAATCAATCGATTTCAGCAGATACATTAAAAAAAGATTGGAAATTACAGTATAACTTCATAGTCTCTCTGTTCACTAATATAAAATTTTGCTTTCATGATAATGGTTATTCAAAAGAAATCTTAATCATAATTGAAATGCAAAAAATACTGTGCAAAATTTAACACCAAAATTGCTTTTTTAGATGCAATTTTTCAGGGAATAATAGTCATTAATCTCAGTGAGAGTTATCTCTCTTACTAAAGGGTCAAAGAACCTTGACTAATAAAAATAATGACATCTGAAATTTACTCCCAGATTTCCTTAAGTGAGAGCAATTAACCTTCTGCCTCCTACTATGTAATTGTTCTATGATAATGACAATTTTCTAAAAACATAGGTAATCAAAGATTACTAAGCTCACCTCGACAAATGTTATCAATAAGTAAGGCAAATCTCGCATCATATTTTTTCCTAGTTAGTGTACATCCCAAGATTAATATCCATCAATATTAGATTCAGAATCCAAAGCATTAGTCTGGAAGTGTCCATCTCTAGATACATCATCATCAATGCTAATTTGGTTAAAATATGGCTAAAATTCATTCATGTGGAAAATCTAGGTCAGATCCAGAATCCAAAGCAGGTTAGTTAGTGTACATCCCTAGATGCATCATCCATGCAAGTTTGGTCCAGGTAGGGCTTACAGTTCGATGGGAATGGACCTGCTCCAAAAACTTTAACCTGGTCACTCATCTGGAAAATCTAGGTCAGATCCAGCATCCGAAGCAAGTGTGGTAGTGTCCATCCCTAGATGCATCATCCATGCAAGTTTGGTCCAGGTAGGGCTTATAGTTACTTGGGAATGGACCTGCTCTAAAAACTTTAACCTAGTCAATCATCTGGAAAATCTAGGTCAGATCCAGCATCCAAAGCAAGTTTGGTAGTGTCCATCCCTAGATGCTTCATCCATGCAAGTTTGGTCCAGGTAGGGTTATAGTTACTTGGGAATGGGACTTGCCCCTAAAACTTGAACCAGGACGCCGACGCCAACGCCGGGGTTATAGCATAAGCTCATCTCGACTTTGTCGAGGTGAGCTAAAAAGGATAAAAATAAAAATGATCAAAATTCATTCAAATTCAGTTTACCATATGGGGTAAAATTTAACATAAAGACTTGTTGAAGACGAAAATCTTATGAAGGAAACAGTGGTTAATCAACTTTCAGAGTTATCTCTCATAGAAGAGGCTCAAAGCACCTTAATCCATAATGTTCACCCTGGTCAGACTGGTATATGTTAATATCAGCGAGGCTGTACCCAATGTTTCAACTCAACCAGTAGCTTTGAAAATTCCCAGAGACATATTTGATTCTGAGAGGTCTATTCTCACAAAACAGTAAATGCTAATTCATCATACTCTGACCTATCCCAATGGACCAGCCTTTAAATGAATTGTTTTTACAGTAGGTAAACAGTTATCAGAGTCCACAAATATTTACAGAAGACACACACATCCAGCTGAATGTTTTACAAGTATTTTCTCTGCATACACAATATAACTTTCCAAACAAAATCATTAAAATATTGACACTCGATCAAGATAAATGTACACATATATAGAACAAATCTATTGATATAATTTTCAATTTTTCACCAGTTCACTGCTGGAACAAAAAGAGTCAGTGACTGGTGAAAATAATTTAGCAATCAGACAATTTTATACAACCTCAAAATGCCAAAATCAAAGCTTTTCTTTAAATATATAAACATGTATAGACTTGTTCAATATTTTGTGCAGGGATCATGTCTGAGAAAAAAAATTGGTCATCCAACTTTAACAATTATCATGTCCAATAATTATCATAACTGAAAAATCTACTACAGTATACTTAAGTTAACTTAATTCTTTGACATAATTAACTTATAACATAGAAATCTTTTTTGTCAACATAAAGCAATAAAACACAGCAAAAATGGTTAAAGAATATTCTTATAGTTACAAACACCCACATTCTTCACTCAGTACCAGAAAACAAGAGGCCAAGGGATGTATTGCTCACCTGAAATCATCTTTCTCTTTCAGACAAACATGTAGATAAATGAAATCCCCTACTGTACCCCCAGCTTGAAGTTCATGACTTCAACAATTTTAATTTACATTATATTGAAGTTTGATGTCATGTTTACACATGTAGTCTTACAGTTCTTGTACATAACTACATTTGTATGTTTCTGTATAAAACTTTGACACTCTATTGTGTCTTCACATTAGCCCCATGGTAAATGACCTGAATAAATCTAAATCTACACTAAATAGAGATGCTTGCATTTTAAAATTACTGTAACCCTGCTTTTCTTGAGAAGAAGACGTAAAAAAAAAAAACCCCATCTTTCTTAATTATCTCAAACTGAAAAGGTGTGGCTCTTCATTTAAATGAATTTGAAATTCTATCCCCTTCACACAAGGATGCCTTTGTCATAAGTTTGATTTAAACTGTCTCTGTGATTCTGGGGAGGAAGAAACAATTGTGAAAAGTTTCAAAACACAGAGACATACAAACATATGCTGGACAAAATTTGATCAGAAAAGCTCACCTGAGCCTCTCCCACAGGTGAGCTATATGCATTAAATTAGTCTTAACTGGATACAGTAAAACTCAGATACAGTAAAACTCGGTTATTAAGAACTCACATACAAGGAATTCTTGGTTATAAGGAATCTTTAATAAATTCTGTAAAAGACTTTTTACTATGTTTCTTGTATGGATATAAAGAATTTCGGTTACAAGGAAACAAAATTTGAGGTCCTACTGATTTCCTTATAACCGAGTTTTACTGTAAAAGGAAGTACAGATATAATTAAACAGCTGTTCTGTACAGTGTATATATGACCATGTTCTACTTTACAATTTGTTTCATAAAAATATTTTTGGGTGCCCAATCTAGGATTTTACAATTTGCTATTTGTACATGTATGAACTTCAATCTTATTCAATCCATGATACAGACATGCAAAAAGAAAGAAATGTCAAACTCCTTAAAGAGCAGGCAAATATTTTCAGCTCCCATTCCTCTTTGGCAATTTAATACAATATTATATTATTTGATAATTCCCTTATAACTGCATTTGCTTTTATTATTTTATTCTTAAATTTCCATAGTGGTGATCATGAATTGAAGGATTCTACAATTTTCAATTTGTTAACTTTTTTTTTTTATTAATGTACACAGACTTGCAGTGTCATCTAACAATATGAAATATACATAGAGAAATTAAACCAACTTATACGTATATATAGCTAAGTTACCTATTTCAATCAGACCTGCTTCCAGTCCTTCATTCAAGACTATAAATACTTTATATAATGAAAAACTCATAGAAGTACCACTTACTGCTGGGGTTTTTCCTGATTACATCGAAGTCGTCAATTTTTAGTGTGGCTGCTGCCCCATCACGTGTTACCCTGACGACATGGTAGTCACCATCATTAACTTTGATGAAATGGTCTCCAATAGGAATGGTCATCTGTGATCCCATGTTATAAGAGACGAGCACTGCACCATCAACCTTAACAGAAGAAAATCCCAAAAGTTATGAGACAAGCATTGTAACATCAACCTTAACAAGAAAATCCCATGTTATAGGAGACAAGCACTGCACCATCGACCTTAATAGAAGAAAATCCCATGTTTTAGAAGACAAACACTGCAACAGCAACCTTAACAGAAGAAAATCCAATGTTTTAGAAGACAAACACTGTACCATCGACCTTAACAGAAGAAAATCCCATGTTTAAGAAGACAAACACTGCACAATCAAACTTAACAGAAGAAAATCCCACGTTACAGGTGACAAGCACCGAGTTATCAACCGTAACAAAAGAAAATCCCATGTTATAGGTGACAAGCACTGCATCATGATTGATCTTAACAGAAGAAAATTTCACATACTAGAAATTTTCATACTAGATAATTTCAGTGCTCATAATTTGTTTAATGTACAGTAAAACACACTTGAGTGAATTGCCAGGGATGAAGAATTTTGAATTGTTATTAATATAATTCAATACATTTCATTAAGCTCACATTCTAAAACCACAGGGAATGAAAACCACTTTGCTGTAAATGTGAATTTATTATAAGAGCGTGTTCGCTATAACCTTGTTTTACTGTACGTACTCTGAATTTCACACTGATATTTTAAATTTAAAAAAAAAACTATTCTAAACATTAAAAATTAACTGAGTTGCACAATGAATTTTCTTTTTAGATATAGTAAAATGTGGTAATTAAGAACTCGCTTATAAGGAAATCTTGGTTAAAGGAAATTTGTTGATAGTAATCCACTAGAAGACTTCGTCAATTGTTCGTTATAGAGATTTAAATAATCTTGTTTATAAGGAAGCAAAATTCAAAATCACAATTATTTCTTTATAACCAAGTTTTACTGCAATGATTATTAGAGGGCCTTAATATTTAGAAGTTAATCCCATAACTTACAATTTCCACTTCTAGGAAGTCTGTCCCTGTCTCACTCTCCACACGGAGAAGAGTGACCTGTTTATCTAGGTCAGGGGTCGTCCTGAATCCGAAGGCCAGTCTATCACTGGAGCGGCTGGGGAGGGAGTTTGGGGGGAAATAGTAGGTGATCAGACCTGGGCCTGGACCAAACTTAACAGTCTTGCTCTCTGAAAAACAATAATAGACATATGCTCTAAACAAGGAACTCAAGTTTTACTTGTAGATGCTCAAGTTTTCTGTGGACATCTTCTCACTAAATATTGCAAAGAATTTACAGGAAATGATTCATACAAACATATACAATTATACAAATAAAAGAAGAATACAAACCCACTTGTAATGCTATAATGAGATTTCATATGAAAATCTGCAAGTTTATATCTTTTTACATTAATTCTGACTTATAAACTTCTATGTTATCTTTAAATAATAAATTTCTTTTATGTGTTATACTTTGTGAACACGTCTGTCATTAACATACCTTGTGAACATGTCTGGCTGGTGTAGGAGGTCATATCACAGTCACACTGGTTAACATACCTTGGAAACATGTCTGTCATTAACATACCTTGTGAACATGTTTGTCATTAACATACCTTGTGAGAATGTGTGTCATTAACATACCTTGTGAGCATGTCTGTCATTAGCATACCTTGTGAACATGTCTGTTATTAACATACCTTGTGAACATGTCTGTCATTAACATACCTTGTAAATATGTCAGTCATTAACATACCTTGTGAATATGTCAGTCATTAACATATCTTGTGAACATGTCTGTCACTAACATATCCTGTGAACATGTGTGTCATTAACATACCTTGTGAGCATGTGAGTCATTCAAGTACTTTGTAAGAGCATGTGCATCATTAACATACCTTGTGAACATGTGTGTCATTAACATACCTTGTGAACATGTGTGTCATTAACATACCTTGTGAACATGTCTGGCCGGTGTAGGAGGTCATATCACAGTCACACTGGAAGCTGTTCCACTGTTCTATACAGTATCCTCCATTCTGACATGAGTCAGATCGACAACTATTACTGGGGCCTGTTATACATAGAAAATATTAGGTACAATTCTATAATTATATATCTATATCCAAACTTTTCTGTATATTGAAAGTGGGGGGGGATCAATTTGGTGAGCACAAGTCAGATTTAAAAAAAAAAAACAATCCCTGCATGGAGTTAGTTTTTGAAAGATTTTGTTAATTAAAGACATTATGGCTACATTACAAATGCAAAACATTTCATCCTTATGTACTTTATAGTTAAAATAAAGAAATGATCATCAGAATAGGTCATCCATAGCAAAGATATCCTAACTGAGTTTGATTTATTCATGATGTGGTCAAATGTCAACTCTAATGGTGGTGAATGTAATTGAATCATCTCATCCAGGTTAACTTATATGTAAAATTGGATGAAGTAATCATATAAAAGCTAGGCCATCCTCAATAGTGATAAATATTTTACACCAATTTCAAGGACAACTCCAATGATGTTATTTGAAAAGTCTCATATTGATTTACATGTACCTATTTGTGAAGTAAGGAAAAAATTGAAAAAGCTCATACTCACTTGGGATATTTTCTTTTTTTTTTTTTGGTAGCCAACCTTAAGGTCATACACATCTACATGTTTGTCTAGTTCAAATACATTGGTGGCAGTTGAAGCATTCTCATGATTTACATTTGTGTGAAGTTTAATATAAAGATGATAATTAAACAGGGCCATCTTCATAAGAAACAATCTGTTTCATTTACTATCTTCAAAGTTGAACTTCATGGTGGCATTTACCATGACTGTGTGAATACAAGTATATTATCCTTAACAGAAATTTTTTTAACAGATTAATGTCAAGGTCAAAGGTCAGATGGGAGGAAGAATGACAGTACACAATCAATCCAGACACTTGACTTCAGTTTGTAATTTGATTAATATAAATAGAATGGTAGACAGTTCTAAAAACTGATACATATATTTCCCATAGTAATCAAACCGCTATTGTTTTTACTGTTACCTTGACAACCTTCTTCCACAGCATAAATCTTCAGAGCCTGTCTCACCAGGTTAGGGCCCTGTCCGTTGAAGTCTACGGAGGCCATACACCCCTGGAAGCCATGACGGGAAGAGTACGGCATATTGTTGTACATGGATTTACTGACTCCTCCAACATACAGATTTCCAGTCAGATCCAGATGCACGCTAGTTGATCCGGACAGGTCACTGATGGTGGGGTGTTCATCGTCCACTCGGATCTGCATCTGTTCCAAGCCAGGTCGTTGTATGGAGACCAGGTGCCACTGGTTGTCGTTGAGTCGTTGTTGAGTGTTGACCACCACCCTCTGTGATCCACCCCCCATATTAAACAGTAAATGAAGATACCCATCCTGCAGCTCAACAGCTATGAAGTCCTGCCCCTGTCCACCATTATACATTAACAAACCATCTGATTCTACAGTCTTAAACTGGAATGAAATGGAAAACTGATTCCTGGCTTGTAATTTTGGAAGTGCAACATAAGAATCTTTTGATTTAAAAGTCACAGTGTCTTTCAACACTGGTTTGTCACTGTCAAACTTGGCTGTTATATTGACATTTGGAAGCGAGTTTGCCTTGGCGAGCTGAATAATCTCTTTGTTGTTAAAGTACAGTTGTTGCATAGATCCCACAAATCCCGGGATCTGGCGTAGGTATAAATCATCTAATGGCATAAGGCTTCGTCCAGCCTCCATCTGAAGAAGGTTCATAGACTGCTGCACTCTGGGATATGTGTCTAAAGCAACAAAGTAACTATATTTAAAAATTTATTAAAATCAACACAAATGTTTGAAATTTTGCTTATTTGATTATATATCTTTTGCATGACATTAAAACCGTATTTATCTTGTATTATCATCATATTGTAGTACATGTATATGTATCCCAGACCACTGCAACATTTTTATTCTTCTAAATTTATAGCTTTTTTCTATTTGACTATATCTTGGGATTATATTCACTCATTTTTCCTAAGAATTAAAACTAAAATAGTGTACAGTGATCACAAGTTGTTTGAATTCTTTATGTTTTACATCTATCAAGGTAATTTTTTCAGTCTAAGATATAGCTTTGTCCTATTACTTGTACATTCTCATGCAATTTTTCTCTCTCCAAAATCTTAAAAGGGTAATGACAATTGAAATACATTTGATGAACTATTATACAAAAAAAATCTTAAAACTTATTTGTATGCACAGTGGCACATTTTAACTTGCATAATCTTTTCCAACTCAAGTGAACATGATGTATTATCTTTAACAAACATAATGCGACATTAACACAATATTTACCATGCAGTCAATCGTTACAGCAGAGGAAATGCAATTATTGGAACTTTTAATGCATAGCAATTTAACAGCATAAGGCAACACTGTGTCGATTATCATGAATATTTGCAAATTATTAAAGATTTGATATAACCAGCAAGACAATTTAATACTTCTCTCCAATATTTGAAAGCACTGAGAAAAACATATCAGCTAGTATTGAGATGCTGAAAGGGTGAAGTGACTATTTAATATACTGTCTGTGTACTTGTCTTTGTAGTCAAAAATTGGCATTGAATAATAAATACAGGTCAACAGCATTTGGTACAGTGCTACTGTATGATCTATGATTAAACATATATACTTCATGAATTATTTTGGTCATGATTCATGGATTTATTAAATTAACTTACAATGCGAAACATGTTAATTTCACTCAAATTAGTACACAAACAGTAATTAGGAACTAGCGAAAAAAGTTAAGAAAAAAGAGGAAGAGAAAGTTACGACTCTCCAAGGGGAAGGAACTGTGTAGGAGGAACGAAGTGTAAGGGTGCCTCTAAAGGGAAACACACACATAATTACCAGAAAGCATTGGGCCAGGGGAACCTAGCAACAAGATTTTTATGTTCATGACCTTCACATAGGAGGAAGAAAACGCTACTGAAAAATAGAGAAGAATAGATCAATACAAAGTCTGCCTAGAAGGAGTTAGATCACCGGTCTGGCTGCTAAAGCTACAGACTAATGTGTCATGTTCAATCTTTACATTATTACTGCTATTATCTGATTTCTGTAAACAGACAAGGCTTAATATGAATTCCTCATGGTTTTTTTTGGTTTTGTTTTTGTAGCGAACAAATTTTGATCTGGTTATAAAAATGACTCAAATAAGGAACGAATTGATACAAAGTAAGGCATTCTAAAGGAGTTTGTTATTTTTAGGATTTTATCTTAGTTGATGGTATCTATTAACAGTGCAATAAAAAAAGATAAAATTAGCGTGAATGGGACATTAGCATACCTGCACTTGGATCGTTATTGTCCACTTTCAGAGTGACTGTATCGCCGCGCCGAGTAAAGTACACTGTGTGCCAGTCACCGTCATTTAGTTTTTCTCGACCAATTGTCATTTGCTACAAAAACCGTATTTTACTCTTAGCAAAACCTAAAATTATTTTCTTTTGTTGTAGTATTTTAAATAGTTTAAATTTCAATAAAATGTCAAAAATAATTAACAATTAAATTTTACATTTAATAATTGATATGAAACTCCTTTTTAAACTTTATATACACAGTCATATAATTCATGATTAAAATCAAATACAAATATACAGTTACTAAGATTTTTGTAGAAGATAAAATTCCATCCCACAAATACTTAGATCCCCCACCTCTCTCTTTCCGTTGATGTTGATCTCAAGTTTGAGTTTTCCCCTGTCTAGGTACAGCATCAATGAGTCCGCGGATTTCTGGGAGGAAGTCACCAGAAGGAGTCCAGATTCTCTCTCCGTCTGGAACCGGAGAGAGACATCCTCCACCTCGGTCTCAGACTCCTCGGGAAACACGACCTTCATGTACTGACCTCCATCAAAGGATAGGCTGGCCGCCACTGGAATTAAGCAACATATTTTTTGAGAAGTTTTAGTGTAAATTATTCAAAGTTGATGATTTTTAAAAAATTTTTAATTTGTCATTAAATTTTGAAAAGTATTATAAAATTCAGACACTGTGTTATATCAAATTCATAGTACTATTTTTTGCATGTTTCATATTTCAGCAGCTTATTATATTATACATGTATATAAGCTCTGTACATGGTGAGCTTAGATTAATTCAAAATAATTATCAAAATATAAATATGATTTAATGATATGATAAATGTAAATGACTAAAGAGCTTAAATTTGAATATACACTGAAATAATTTAAACTTTGCAATATTTCTCTGTACCAAGCAAGTTTAGTTTCTAAGCAGTCATGTTTGTCTTATGATAGTTGAAAAGATATACTCGTATTGATTCAAGATTATGTAACATTTCTAAGAGATTGGAATCTAATTGGCTCAAATAGTCTAACAAATGCCATACCATTTGATTTCTCTTGATTTCCATACCATTAAGGGAATCAAACATTTCAACCTCTGTAATGTCCCATGTTCTCAAGTGTCTTAATCAGCTTTACCAATACATTAGTACACATGCAATTTGCTGGTTCTATAGAATTATAGTGGGTGTATGTAGCTTTGAACCTAGATTAAACGGACATCAATATAGTTGAAATTGTGCAGGCCTAATTTCTATAAATACTAATACTTGAAGACCTAAGCATGATCTCCCATTAGGGCATTGACTAGTATTTTTACTCCTTTGGTGTATATAATTAACTTGCAATAATTACAATAAATATAACTCCATAAAAAATTTGGTTACCATATTTGGCTGAATATAATACACACTTTTTTTCTAAAATAATTTTCTGTGAGAAAGGGGTGCGTATTTTACACCACAATGGGATTTTGATAGGTTTTTCTTTCAGGTGAAACACGGCTGTCATACTCACATACCGTAGTACCGTAACCGATTCAATGGGTGTTAAAAATATTCTTGATACAAGCTGACTAATTCATGGACATACCAATTTCTTATAGGCCTGAATAAGTTATTTTCAGGCTACCAAAAAAAAAAAAAGAAAAAAAAAGAAACTAAGTGCTAGGAATGGAATTGAAAGACATTATTCACTGGCAGACATGAAAGTTCTAGAAGACTGCAGCATTCTAAAATTAAATAACTGTCTGTGTTTTTCATTGGTAAGTCTTGGCCTACACCAAACCTCGGAGATAAATCAATAATGGAGATGGGGGAATACTTTGTTAACCAATTTCCATATATTTTGTAGATTACTAAGAGATTAAAGAAAAGCTGACAGAAATAGGAAGAAACCTTTAGAGACACCCTGTAACAAGACTGTCTTTGTGAGTACATGAGAACTTGGAACAGACTTAATGGTCCTATCTGGTTCCTTGTTCAAACCTCAGCACTAACAATCAGCTAGAATCAGATATTAAATAGTACATCCTCAGAAACTGCTAGATTGGATAGAGTACATTTCAGCACTGATTAATCTTCTGAATCTCGGACAATTTTTCCCTGCGTTGACATTTAGGCATTAGAAGAAGAGGATCCTAATATACAGCTAATGGGGATGGAAAGGGCATTAAACCAAATCAAGCCTACTAAACAGATGCCAAGTCTCTGATTTGATGCAAATTCCGCTTACAAATTTGTTGTTCTGAGCTGCTAATGAGCAGTATAGTGGAGAGTTCTGGTATCTTATAAACCACAATTCTATATAATCTTGGCATTCAATATCAAAATGGGAAAGATGGCCTGGTAATTTTTCCAAATCAAAGATTTATTGTGAAATCTAGAATTTCTTCTAAAATCTACATTTTATAATGAGGGTTATAATAATTACACAACTACCTAAACCCAACTGTAGATCATGTAGATGTATTACTGAGAAATCTTTTCTTCAATGTATGTAATCATTTGCTTGGTTCATTATGAGTTATACATTATTCTCATTCACAATATCTAGGATTAATATTTCAAAGTACAAAAGCCTCAAATTTCATTCCAAATTTATGTGGAAATAGCAGTTATCAAATCAGATATCTCCAATGATCCTTACCAATGTATTATTAATTAAGTATTCATTAAAAATCATCCTCAAAAACTAGATGTATGTCCATGTCATATTCATGGCACTCCTGGTACAAAAAAAAAATTCCTACCGACTTTCAATAAAGAATCTTGCCCAGGATTCATATGCTGGCTATATAGACTTAGTGACTACTGTTTCACAAACAATTGTCACTTGTAAATGGATACTTCTTCAGAATCAGCCAATTGATCCAGAAATGAAATCTACTGGGAATTCTTTATTTTGGCAGTAACTATCTTTTTGAACTACATCAACAACATCTATGTAGGAGCATTGTACATTTTCTGTGTTAATTAATGGTTAACCTTATATAGAAAGGACCTTCACCCATTCTGCTCTCTGATCAAAGCTGTTGAGCTTCAACCAGTTTAAACTGTAGGAATATGTCACTATGATACTTTCTACTGTTTATTTTAAATTCTTCAAAAATATGCACAATACAGATGGTCAATGCTTTGGGGTGCACATTCAAATTCTCTCCATGTTCCTTAACAGTTTCTAATTCATGAAACAAGAGGCCCAAGGGCCTTGAATCGCTCTTCTGATAAACTGTACAACCTATCACTTCTATTTGAAGCCTCCAAGTATCCTGTATATTTAGATAAACCCTTGAAATTCCAAAGGTAGGTCATCATGATCTACATTTTAGATGAAACACTCTGGGAACCCAAGATGATTCTAAGCCAATTAGTACCTGAGAGTTGGTCATAGTGACCTACTTATCACTTGTCATTCTCTGAGGACCCAAGATGCATTAACTAAGTTTGATGATTCTAAGCCAATTAATACCTAAAATATTTTCAAAATTATAATCATAAAATTTCAAAAGTAGGTCATAGTGACCTACTTTTCAGATGACATACTTTGAGGACCCAAGATGCATCAACTGACAAAGTTTGATGATTCTAAGCTACCTGAAATATTTAATTAAAGCCATAAATTTTCAAAAGTAGGTCACAGTGACCTAATTGTCAGTTGTTGTACTCCAAAGACCCAAGATGCATCAACTGACAAAGTTTGATGATTCTAAGCCAATTAGTATTAATTAAAGCCAAAAAATTTCAAAAGTAGGTCACAGTGACCTACTTTTCAGTTGACGTTTTTTGAGGACCCAAGATGTATCATTGTCATTGTGACCTACTTTTTAATAAATATGTTTTATGGCCCCAAGATGCATCATCTTACAAGTTTTATTGATTCTAAACCTCTCAGTATTCGAATTAATGACCTTAATTGTTCTGAAAAAGATTAGCCATAAAATTCAAAAAGTAGGTCAAGGTGACCTACTTTTTAGTCGACGTACTCCGAGGACCCAAGATACATCAACTGACAAAGTTTGATGATCATAGGCCTTAAATTCTTCAAAATGTGCCTCTAAATCATTTTGCAAAATGATGGCCACAAAATTTAAAAAGTAGGTCATTGTGACCTACTTTTGAGTCAGCATGATATGAGGTCCTTAGATGCATCAACTGACAAGATTTGATGATCCTAGTCCTTATAGTAAGCAAAATATCAACATTTTAATAAAATGTAATTTTTGGTCATATTTGAAGTGACCTTGAGACCACACCCTTTGCCCCAGGGTAAATCCCCATGCAAATTTTAATTTACAACATATCCTCATCCTTTTGTGTAAGTTTTGTGATAATCTGCCCAGTGGTTCTTGAGAAGAAGATTTTTTAGCAACCAGTACTTTTGTTTCTATTTTCCTAATTATCTCCCCTTGTTTAAGGGTCACAAACCTAGTTTTAATATAAACTGAAGCCCTTGGGCCAAGGATACCCTGTGACAAATTTGACAATAATTGGCCAAGGGGTTCTTGAGTTATGGCCCATATCCTAAAAAGTTTACGCACACCGCACAAATGGACATAGCATTAGGTCTTTGAGCCTTTGGCTCAGAATAGCTAAAAAAAAAGTCGAACAGTTTTGACCCTACTGTTCTGTGTTACTATGATGATCCCCATAACTGTACAACCCACCTGTTTAACAGGTCGAGACCACTAGATTTTCTGACGTCAGCATAAATTTGCATGTAAATTAGCTATCTGTTTACTTTACCCACTGATGAATGAGTCGCAATGCATTATAGGCTACTACAAGTACTCAGTTGTGTTGAAAAGAAAGGGCAACTTGAATTGTCCCTTGGAAACTCATTTTCAATTCTTTTTGAGATTTATGAACAGAAATATTAAAAATGATGTATAATCTTTCATTTCTATGCTCACATTTACAAAATTTGATTTATGAAGCCTTATATCAACTTAAAATACATCGGCCTATAAACAATTGTTCAAAGAGACGTAGATGCTATCGTGTCGATAAAGCATCGAGTGTTTTTTTTTTCACATGATATACGTGTACATATATAGTTTTAGACAGCAGTACAAGGTGCGCAATTATTATTTAATCCCTCAATATTTTCAAAATGTTTTAATGTACATGCAAACCTCAAAGCTTTAACTAGTACGGAATTTGAAGCAACTATTAATCATCTAAAACAACTCCAATATTAAATGTGAGCATGGAGCAGTGTCTTTGGAATATAAGCTTTCAATTTCAGCCTTATAAAGTAAAAGAGAAGCTCTACGGTTTTTCCAGTGACAAAGTAAATATTATGCAGTAAACCGACGAAAACCACGCATCGCTACTGAATCGTAAACAAGTAGTAGACTGTCATGCTTTGGGATTCATTCAATTGATTGTAGAATGGGTGTGACGAAAACATCGTCACGTGTTGAAAATTGTCTTCCATATAAGGTAGTGTACCCGACCTGTTTAACATTATGTCTGTACTGTGTTGTGTAGTACTCACTATAATTCCCATAGCTGTACAATAGTCACCTATAAGACTTAGTATTCTCTTTTCAGAGATTTTTCACTCACCTGACTGACACTGTGTGCCCCTGTGTGAAGTACCCCGACAGTCACACATGTATCGATTCCACCCCTCTGAGCAGACCCCTCCATTCAGACATGGTCGAGTCAAGCACTTGGCCCAGGGTTCAACCTTGCACTCATCCCCAATTCCCGACCGGCTGTTCTTTCTTGCCACCATCAAAAGGTCCACTTTATTTCCATTTACCACTAGATCTTGCATGCATCCTACATACCCATACCCCAGGGTCCCTGCCCAAAGGTCCTTAGGAATGTCATCATTAGAGGTTCCAAAACCTCCCACATATAGCTCCCCGTCCAAGTTCAAATTTGTACTATTCCCTGGCACTACGTAGTCTTTTGTTTCATTGTCCAGTGTAAAAGAGCCCGATTTTCCAGAAGCATAGTGTTTCAAGGACACATGGTGTTGCATTTTATCATTCACTTTTGTGGTAATTCTATCTTTGAATGCACCAGAACCTAAATCTATAATAAACCATAAATAACCATCAAATATCTCGAAAGCAAAGAAGTCTGAATTTCCTCTGCGACTATTGTAAATGACCACTCCTTTGTCCTCACTGGTCTGGAATGTGAATGAGAGGGTGGCCCCCTCTCTGCTTACCTCCCATCGAGGGAGGGGGATGAAGGACTCAGAGGTTGTGAAAGTAATGGGTTTGGTTTCCACAACATCTTGACATTGGTTGAAGGTCATTGCTCCCTCCACTTGGACAAAACTATTTTTGGTGGAAGCCATTTTGCTCAGGTCAAGCTTTAAGCCATCAGCGGTGTAAATAACCTATAAATATTGGAAAACCAGTACATAATGTAATATTTCACGAACTGAACCCAAGCCAATGGATCTTGTATGACAATTTAAGTTAACCTCTGTCACATAAATACGGAAATGGTTTCCAGTTGTCTAGGATATTATCTTATCTAGGATTATTTCTGTCATTATTTTGATGTAAGATGGAGAAAAAGTGACAGTAATATACTGTTCTAAGACACAGAAGACTAAATAATCATTCGAAATAAATAGTTTTATTTGAAAATGTGATACTTCATTTCTTTTACAAGTAAATTATTAGTGGCAAATTAACAGTCCAGCGTTAATACAATTCCAATGCTGCTGTAAATTTTTGTGACCTTGACCTTTACATATGACCGTTATCTGACAGGAACCTCTTGACTGACTGTACATAACTTCTTTCTATCCTGCATGAAGATTTTAATTTTTTTTTCACAGATAGAGTTATGGACATTAATTAAGGCAAAGCTAGATCAGGAACAATATATGTGGTGATCTTCGATCTCAAGGGAACAGAAAAGGAATATAATGATGTCTCTCTCAATAGAAATAAACTATTAGCCAAAACAAATATTTGATGACTGAAGGAGCCAGTAAACTCTCTTTTTTACATTTCTTATCCAATTATCAGGAAATTGCATCAACTTTATCAGGGAAAACATCGATTATTTTTACATAGATTGTGAATTCCATTGAGCTGACATTCTTTAAACACATAAACCCAGTTTAATCTGAGAAAAGTTCTTCAAAAACTGTACATTAAAGGGTTGTAAAATCTTCACAGTAAACATTACATTAAAGGATTGTAAAATCTTTTCAATAAACTGTCACGTAGAACAGAAGCTGATGAGCACAGAGACAGTGTTATGATCACCATACAAGCAAGTCAAAATGACAGGAACGAAACTACGTTCTCCGGAAAAAAAATCAATGACTAAGATCTAACATTATTACACAATGTCCGGAAACCTTGTCAGTATGTAGCTCTACATCGGGGAGTTTTGTCCCCGATACTCTAAATAGATCAGCTAGCGGCAGGCTTATAGGCCTATTTAAGCCCAGCTCTCCCAAATTAAAACCTTCACATTGCACGTCACTGACTTAGGTACATAAGATATGAACACAGTGATTTCTTCTTATTGTTTATGACTAAGACATTGAACCTGCCCATCGTGTTCAAAAGTTTCAATTCTGTTCAAGTGCATATACCTTTAATAAAATGGTTTAGATGAAAATTAATAAAATTCTTCGAAAAAAATGGAATCTGTTGTTGTACCAATATTAGGGATGGGTATCACCAAAAATTTTGTATCGCGATATATATCACAATTTTTTTCTAAAAAATAACACGATACTTTTGCACATAATTTTTACTATGAATTTGAATGAATTTCATAACTTTTCTAACAATTATAGTGCGAAAACATTAATAACTTCACTTTTTTTTTTTTCATTTTATTTACATATAATTAATAAAGCATGTTTGGATGCTAGGATTCCTTTGTTTTACAACCGTTTTACAATTCCTATAATTGAACTTCAAGAGTTTGAACAAAAAAATTAGTTATTCCTGGAATTAATAACTACATACTGAATACCGGAATTTTAGTCTCTGTATCATAATAAAAAAAATCACGATATACCGATATACAGATAAAATCGCACATCCCTAAGCAATACGGTTGCTAAAATCATTTAATTTTTTTATTTATTTATTTTAAATATCATAAAGAGAATGCTGATGATAGATCAAATAACAATTTGGCCTTCAATTATGGCAGTATAGACTTTCTAAAAAAAGACAAGACTTCTGATCTTCGGAAAAGTAATAACCTGACTAGGTTTCCAATTAAATAAAGATAATGCACTTTTATTTGAATAAGAGATTGCAACAAATACCACAAAGCAATCAAAAAGGTAATTTTACGCCTTTAAAATTAATAAATGCCTTTCCATCTATTTACAAAAGCAGAGTGGAAATCAATTTCACTTCATATTTTAATTAATAAAGTACAGGTATTATCTCTGCCACCCTAAGGGATTGTAAATCAATGAAATCTACATATGAAAAGAAGAAACGAAAAAAAGCATGTAAAAGAGTTATTGTGCTAATTCGTAATTAAATTTTCTCTCCCTTACTGTCCTTACATTAACTTAAAATACTACATGTACTTTTAAGATGAATATCAAATTCTGAAGCTAATTAATACATTTATAGGCATTATTTCTTATCAGATCTTGTTAGGCCTTGATTTAATGTTACATACTATAGTTATACCAGTAATTATATAAGCTTTACCAGAGTAATGAAGAATCCATTCCAATAAAATTAAGGCACAATAAAAGTAGTTTTCATTTTATTTCATTAATCTCTTTAATATAATAAAATGTTTTTAAAATAATGTACTGTAGCACAGAAAAAACATCTTATTTTAGCAAGATAGGTATTTGGTATTTATAAGCAAGACAAAATGTTCATGAATTCAGGTTTTTTTTTTAATTAAGAGAAAAATTTTTGAGAGCAGACCGTTTTGCCTAATTATGCAATCATAAAGTTCTCGCAAATAAAAAGTGATTTACAGTATTGATGAAAATCTAATTAAGGAATTAAATTTAAGATCACTATTGTAACAATATAATCAAGACAATATTATTTTATTTTTTCTTTTTGTTTTTTTTTAATTTCAACTATTCATTACAGGGCTATCTCATTTCCCCCAACCAAATCTCTTTTACCAGCTGGCTTATCAAAAAGTTTGTGAACAGCTAGGACCATAAAATGAAAACTGCATGCTTAAGGTACATCAATCCTTTCTGTCTACAGAATAAACTTTATACAAGACTTATGTTTTATATTGGAATAATTTGTCCATGTTTTTGTAAGCACTATAGCTAGCATAGCCAGGCATGCAGTGCAACTTTAAAATGTGCCGTATATGTATTTCAACTGCGAGTCTAACAGATAATTTTTTTTTTGATATGAGCAATTGTCAGTTAATTCTCTCACTAATTCACTTTTGAGTTCTATAAATTTTACAATTTTTCTCTTATTTTGTCACTTTTCTGAAATCTTATTGTAGATTTAAATTATCTGTTCATAACAGAAGACCACAGATTAAGAGAGAGAAAAGGCATATTTAAAGCTGATTCGCTGTCAGAGTATCCAAAGTCTGTAGTCACGTTGAAAAGTAACAGTAGAAATTGAATTCCGACAAACGGATTAAGCTGACAAAGCCAAGCAAGCGATCTTTCTCTTTCATATAGATTCATTAAGTATATTGTGTTTTGAAATCTGCTGTTCAAGAAAATTTAAAATTATGTAAATAAGTCAGGTTTTGGTTAGTATTCAACTCTAGGGTATCTTGTCAAGAAAAATGCATCGAGACAGGTGGAGCAGAATTGAGGAGCATGCAATGACATTGTCAAATGTCATAAAATTCAATGGCAGCTACATATGTACTGGCGATCGCGCGATAATGTCTTTTGTATCTGATAATAAATTGGCAAATTATCAATGTATCAAGCTAAAATTTCCAAAACTTCTTGAATTCTTGTTTCATTTGCTTATATATATATAAATTTTGTAAGCAGAAATTTTATCACACGTACAAATCCACAAACTTTTTGATAAGGCCATCCTTAAAAGAGTGTTTGCTTGCCCTCTCCTGACACAGGATAAATATTGAATAAGTAGGTAGGTTGAAATGGATGCTATTTATACAGAATTCAAGGCATATCTATGGATAAAATCTCTTTTTTTTTTTAGGCATATTAGACAGGAGGCAACTAAATGAAGTAAGGTTTCTGAATCCTTTATTGTTGCACATGACCAGAAATTACTTAAATGTAAAACAATGGGTCACTAAAGCAGGTTTGACTGTATTCTAAATAATATAAATATATTCAATAATGAGACTAAATCCCATGTAATTCCTTGACCATTTTATTTCCTGGTTCAACCAACCTTTTTCATACACCCTTTGAAGTTGTTAGTGACAATGATCCCCTGTCCGAGTCTTGTGGCATGGGGATGTCCTCCGACATACAGCACCTTACTGTCCAGCATTGTAAACACGCCCACCATGCTGCGCTCTGTAGTGTGAATCCCATCCACAGTGAGTTGTACCTGTTATCCAAAATTAAAAATCATAACCCTATAAATCAATGACTTTCAAATAAAATCAGTCTATAACACTATAAAAATTTAGAGGTTAAAATACATAAAGATGGTTGTAACTAATTCGAATTCACATTCAGTAGCCATGATATTAGAGATACCAAACAACTGCATTCATCATAAAGCATTTCTTGACATATATCACATGACCTGTCGTGGTTCACAAATTAATTCTGTAAACATGCTTTTTTCAACGAAATCTAAATTTCTCTTCAATCTACAGGTAGAAAATTAAAAGGGTTTCTTGGATCTCCATTGCATATTAATTGTCTAAATTAAATGCATTTAATGTATTCTAGCTGTGATAAATTTTCGTGTTAAATTTGTGACCAATTACATAGCATTAATTAATCCCACGTATTCAGTACGTATAAACATGATAAAATTACTGAAACGTTTACATTTTTTATAATATTCATTTAAATAAATTATTCAACATATTATCAATTTGTTAATGGATTGATCTATGAAGAATGCTATTTTGCATTATGTACATGCTACTAGTGAAAATAACTATATAATGGTAATCTCATTTTTGTATTAATACAAGAGGCCCACGGGCCTTATAGGTCACCTGAGTATCATGCAACAACTTCGCCACAATGGATTCATGTTTTAAACCAGAGGCCATGAAATTCACAATTTCGAAAGAGGCACACTTGCTCATCATAATTTTACATTTAGTAAGCTTACTTAATACCCAGAAAGAGAGCAGAGGATTATCAAAGAATTAATGCATTTTCACTATGTAATCATTAGAGCCCTGCCCTAACACCAGAACCATGATGCAGGGGCCATAAAATTCACAATTTTGGAAGAGGCACCCTTACATATCATAACAATACTCTTAGTTCATCAGCTTAATACCCAGGAGAAAAGAAGAAGATTTTCAAAGAATTATTGCATTTTTACTATGTAATCATTAGAGCCCCACCCTAACACCAGAACCCCTGACCTAGGGGCCATGAAATTCATAATTTGGGAAGAGGCACCTTTACTCGATCATCATAACTATGCATCAGTTTGTTTGTTAAATACCCAGGATCAAAGAAAAAGATTTTTAAAGAAATAATGCATTATCACTATATATTCAACAGAGCCCCACCTTAACACCAGAACCCCTGACCTAGGGGCCATGAATTTCACAATTTTGGAACAGGCACCCTTACATATCATAACTATACTCTTAGTTCATCGGCTTATTACCCAGGAGAAAAGGAGAAGATTGTCAAAGAATTATTGCATTTTTACTATGTAATCATTAGAGCCCCGCCCTAAAACCAGAACCCCTGACCAAGGGGCCATGAAATTCACAACATAGGAATAGGCACCCTTATTCATCATAACTATGCCTTCAGTTTGTTTGCCCTGGATGAGAGAAGATTTTTAAAAGAAATAATGCATTTTCACTATACATGTATATTCAACAGAACACTGCCCTAACACCAGAACCCCTGACCCTAGGGCCATGAAATTCATAATTTTGGAAGAGGCACCTTTACTCATCATAACTATGTATTTATTTTGTTTTCATAATATCCAAGAGCACAGAAGAAGCTTTTTAAAGAAATAATGCATTATCACTATATATTCAACAGAGTCCCAACCTAACACCAGAACCCCTGACCCTTGGGCCATGAAATTCACAATTTTGGAAGAGGCACTTTTTCTCATCATAACTATGTACTTAGTTCATCAGCTTAATACCCAGGAGCAGAGGAGAAGATTTTTGAATAATTAATGCATTTTCACTATATAATCATTAGATATCGCCCTAACACCAGAACCCCTGACCCAGGGGCCATGAAATTCACAATTTTAGAAGAGACACCTTTCCTCATCATAACTATGCATATTGTTTGTTTCCTAAATACCCAAGAGCAGAGGAGAAGATTTTTTAAGAATAATGTTTTTCACTACATATTCAACAGAGCCCCACCCTAGCACCAGAACCCCTGACCCTGGGGCCATAAATTTCACAATTTAGGTAGAGGGCTCAATGCTTATTACATTCATGCCAACAGTTTGCCTGCTTGATGCCCAGGAGTAAAGAAGAAGATTTTTAAAGATTGCATTAATTCTGATGGTTTTAGCCCCACCCCTCAGGCCCCAGGGGGTAGGGGTCATGAATTTCACAATTTTTACTCCCCTTCACATATAGATGCTATGTGCCAAATTTGGTTGAAATTGGTTCAGTGGTTCCAGAGAAGAAGCTGAAAATGTTCAAATGTTAACGCACGACGGACGACGCACGCCGACGGACGAAAACAGATAGCAATAGGTCACCTGAGTAAACTCAGGTGACCTAATAAATACCAAATAAAAAAATTATGTAACTACTGTGGGGTTGGTTCAAGGTTTGAATTTGATCCTATTCGCAGAAATCAAAAATTTTCTCAGATTTCACCCTATTTCTGTCCTTTGGACAGAAATACACTGTATCTCTTTTTCAGTGTATTCTCAGTTCTAACATGAAACCTTTTCATTAATTCTTATTGTCTATAAATATGACTGATTTCTCCCAAAATCAATTGAAGCAATACACAGGGGGAAAGAATGCACACAGAGAGCAAAAATGAATAGAAATCCCAGAAGTCCTCAGTCAACATGGCTGACAGAATGGAATCAGATCAGACCAGTACAATTATCACTTAAGTCCATTATAGCACTACACTGATCAACTGGAAAATTAACCAAACACCCCTCATTTCAAGTCAGTGGCCCCTGAGTAATGAAAAAGACCCAGTCTTTAGTCATAAGGGCTTATGAAACATGCAAATATCAATTACATTTCCATCATCTGACCACAGTAACGTAGAGTCCACTGTTTTATTGGACTTTAACATTGAAAGGGAGATTCAGGATAGACTTGATTGACAAATCCTAAATGATATCCTAGCTGGTCTGAAAAACAAAATCTGATTATACTTATTCTCACAGACGCTATATTTTTTACCCACAAAATGCCACATTCCACATGATTTTTTTGATAATAAAGAGATCAAACCTCCACAAAAGGTTAGTTTTATTTAAATTAAACATTAACCTTCACTAGTGGCCACCTACAGAACAAACAGAAGCCTTTATAATAATGAAAAATGATAAAATGGCTGACAAGCTTTCACTGACACGTACAATTCTGATTAAACAAACTCGGAGGTTCTAAATCCACACAACGCCTGAAATGTCAGTTTAATTTGCTAGTATCTTTTAGTTAAATATCAAACAGAAATGGCCAAACAAGCTCTAAATCATATATAAAAAAAGTACCATATGTGAATAATTCTCAATGTGGAATTGAAACATACTTTGCAACCTATCTCAGGTCACCAACCAGTCACATATCACACAACCACGCTATCTGTGAGCACTTATCAAGAACAATCTATATCAGCTCACTAATAACTAACCTGAAAATAAAAATATACTATACTATCTCACCTAACTAACCAGATAACTTTATAAGAGTTATACTATCCTATAGTTAACTGACCAGGCACCTGTCAAACAACCATGCTATCTCAGCTCACTACACTGGGCACCTAGCTGTCAAAACATAGGTAATCAAAGATTACGAAGCTCACCTCGACGAATGTTATCTACATGTAAGGCAAATTTCACATCATATTTTTTTTCTAGTTAGGGAACATCCCAAGATCAATATCCATGCAAGTTTGATTTAATTATAGACCTGCTCAAAAAACTTTTGACCTGTTTAGTAATCAAGAAAATTTTGGTCAGTTCCAACATCAAAAGCAAGTCTGGAAGTTTTCATCCTTAGATGCACCATCTATGCAAGTTTAATCATAACAGGCCATAATATTATATAGCTACTCCAAAAAAATTACCCTGGTCACTCATCTGGAAAATGTACATCAGATTCAGAATCCAAGGCAAGTCTGGAAGTGTCCATCCCTAGATAAATCATCCATGCTAATTTGGTTAAAATATGGCTAAAATTCACTCATGTGGAAAATCTAGGTCAGATCCAGCATTCAAAGCAGGTTGGTTAGTGTACATCCCTAGATGCATCATCCATGAAAGTTTGGTCCAGGTAGGGCTTATAGTTACTTGGGAACGAGACTACTCCTAAATCTAAACCTGGTCACTCATCTGGAAAATCTAGGTCAGATCCAGCATCCGAAGCAAGTGTGGTAGTGTCCATCCCTAGATGCATCATCCATGCAAGTTTGGTCCAGGTAGGGCTTATAGTTACTTGGGAATGGACCTGCTCCTAAAACTTTAACCTGGTCACTCATCCAGAAAATCTAGGTCAGATCCAGCATCCGAAGCAAGTGTGGCCATGTCCATCCCTAGATGCATCATCCATGCAAGTTTTGTCAAGGTAGGGCTTATAGTTACTTGGGAATGGACCTGCTCCTAAAACTTTAATCTGGTCACTCATCCAGAAAATCTAGGTCAGATTCAGCATCCGAAGCAAGTGTGGTAGTGTCCATCCCTAGATGCATCATCCATGCAAGTTTGGACAAGGTAGGGCTTATAGTTACTTGGGAATGGGACCTGCTCCTAAAACTTTAACCTGGTCACTCACTGAAAATCTAGGTCAGATCCAGCATCCGAAGCAAGTGTGGTAGTGTCCATCCCTAGATGCATCATCCATGCAAGTTTGGTCCAGGTAGGGCTTATAGTTACTTGGGAATGGGACCTGCTCCTAAAACTTTAACCTGGTCACTCATCTGGAAAATCTAGGTCAGATCCAGCATCCGAAGCAAGTGTGGTAGTGTCCATCCCTAGATGCATCATCCATGCAAGTTTGATCCAGGTAGGGCTTATAGTTACTTGGGAATGGACCTGCTCCTAAAACTTTAACCTGGTCACTCATCCGGAAAATCTAGGTCAGATCCAGCATCCGAAGCAAGTGTGGTAGTGTCCATCCCTAGATGCATCATCCATGCAAGTTTGATCCAGGTAGGGCTTATAGTTACTTGGGAATGGACCTGCTCCTAAAACTTTAACCTGGTCACTCATCTGGAAAATCTAGGTCAGATCCAGCATCCGAAGCAAGTTTGGTAGTGTCCATCCCTAGATGCATCATCCATGCAAGTTTGGTCCAGGTAGGGCTTATAGTTACTTGGGAATGGGACTTGCTCCTAAAACTTTAACCTGGGACGCCGACGCTAACGCCGACGCCGACACCGACGCCGACGCCGACGCCGGGGGTATAGCATAAGCTCATCTCGACTTCGTCGAGGTGAGCTAAAAATCATGATATCTCAACCTACTGACCAAGCACCTGTCAAGTAACTATGTTATCACAGCTTATTGACCAGACACCTATCAAACAAACATGCTATCTGAACAAACTGACCAATACACCTGTTAAATAAGCATGCTATCTCAGCTCACTGACCAGACACCTATCAAACAACCACGCTATTTCAACCTACTGACCAAGAACCTGTTACACAACCATGCTATTTCAGATTGCTAAACAGGCACCTGTCAAACAGCCATGCTATCTCAAATTCACTGGCCAGGCACCTGTCAAACAGCCATGCTATCTCAATTCACTGGCCAGACACCTGTAAAGCGGCCATGCCATCTCAGTTTACTGACCTCAGGCACCTGTTAAACAGCCATGCTATATCAGCCAAACACTTGTCACACACCCATGCTATCTCAAATTACTAATCAATGCTGCCAAAGTAGCTATCTTATTCTTAGCTCAGTGACCACACTCCTATGAACTAAGCCATCTCAACTTAATCACAATTTATTTGTCAAAGAATCATTTTATCTCAGCTCAGTAAGCAAATCTTTCATACCTCTCCAACCAGACACCTGTCAATGAAACAAGTATGGATATCTCTAACACCTGACTGATTAGCAGGAACATAGCTTAAATATACCAAAGCTGATGTACCTATACTGAACTGTTTTAGCCCCAATTAACAGACAAACTAGGTATCTCACAACATTATGACTTGGAGGTCAATATTTTCATCAAATGGTTCGATCAGCATTCAACAACACCAATATCAACAACAGTGAGATAAATTTGCATACTGGCAAGACAAGCCTAGAGGAAGGGGTTTCATGCACATGCTACCATGGTAACTTACCATTGCCATGGTTACTTACTATGTACTTGGCATTTCCTATTGTCAGCTTTTCAATAAGTAAAGAAACTGAACTCAATAGAGAACACAAAAAAAGTCGATTCAAAGAACAGGGTTAGAAGTGCAGAGTGTTGGTAGTAGCTGCAGAGTGTAATCTAATCTAATCTGTGTATATCTATAAATCGTGCTTAATACTTAGTAGCTTCAAGTCATTTCTCAAATTCTCGAAGAATTTCATTGCAGGCTTAACTTTTTTAAAACTAGTCAGTGCTAAAACAGTAGCATTTTATCATTAATATGACATAAATGACCATAAAGCTACCAGTAATATCATAATAAAAACATTTCCCTACACATTCAACTATGAAATGGTGCTAAAAGCAAATAATATACCAAAAATAAAATTACATCCAAAATATTACATGACTGCAAATCCTATTTATTATTATGTCTGATTCCTATTCTTGCAATATAAGACATATATTTATGTCAATGGTAGAGTTACCTTCCTTGATTGTCTGGTTAACAGTAGGTGGTGCCACTGGTTGTCATCGAAGCGGTAACCACTTGGACCTATATCTAACTTAGCCTCTCCACCACCCAGGTTCACTATTACCATGACTCTCCCATTCTTCAGAGCAATACTAATGTAGTCACTCTTTTCTCCTGGAAGGTAGTTTATACATGTACAGTAAAACATGCTTATAGCGAACAAGCATATAATGAATTGACACTTAGAGCGAAGTGATTTTCATTCTCAGTGACTTTAAACTGTATTGTGATACTAACAGATATAACAAATTACATTTATTATGAATCAAAATCATCTGTCCCTGGCACTTTGTTATTAAGCGTGTTTTAATGTATTCATTTACGAAAATAGGAAATGGGCAAAGACAATAATAATAGGTAATCAAACACAATGAAGTTCACCTCAATAAATGTAATTGATAAGTATTAAGGCAAAAAATCTCCTACCAAATGAATGTTCATTGGCAAGATCTATTAGCTACACTCGTTCTGCATTACAGACTTTTCCTTAAACAACTTATATTCATCTGTTATGCAAATTATCTCAATGAAGTCACCATGCAGCTGTCATTAATGACCAGGAATACCCAACACATTAGACAGTGATTCCTTGAAAAACTTCACTTGCAGCAGTCTTAAGCAAGACCATTCATAAGTATCACTAGATGCATCATCAATACAAGTTTGGTAAGGGCAGACTTCAAGTTTGTTTGCTGTTTAATGTCCCTCTCGAGAATATTTCACTCATATGAAGACGCCACCACTTGCCAGTGGAAGGCTGTAAATTTATACCTATACTCAGCATTCAAGGCCATTGAGAAGTGAGGGATCTTTTTCATGCCAACACCTACTGCGACACGGTATCTTGGTTTTACGGTCTCATCCAAAGGACCGGTCTCCACGTCTCGCAGTGGATTCGAACCCGCAACTTCAAGTATATTGCCTCAACATCGTCAATCTGCCCACTTATTAAGACAATATACATGTAGAATTTCAGGAAGTCTGAAGCAAGTCTGGTGCTGCTATATCCCTAGATGCATTACTCATTCAGTTTTGGTCAAGGTAGGACTTACTTTCATGTCTTGCTCCTAAAAAGTTCACTTGATTATTATGGTGGAAAATATACAGTAGTTCTTATTTGGCATACAAAGAAAGTACTCTGATTGTGTGCACAGGATTTCTGGATCAGAATTAAAGATATACTTGGGAATGATAGAACAAAACTGCAACCCATTACATCATTGAACTGGCCAGCATAATGGTATCTGAATAGTCAGGTAAAAAATAATTATATCTGCTCTTTTATCTGAGTACAAGGTATTAAAGTACTTGAATTACCAGTTACCACTGCTTTATAAGGCATATATATACATGTATATAACTGGTATATTGATTAAAACTATAAATAGCTTTAATCAATATAAATTTCATTTCATATGAAATTTTCATTGAAAAGAAACATATATACTCAAGGAAATTTGAGAAAACTAGCTACTGTAACCTAAATGCACCAAAACCTTTGATTATAGTTATATGACCCTACCTGATTCGTTGCAATTGTTAACAAGTTCATACCTCATAAAATACACCAAGTCTATACCAAAGTTAATTAGAAATAAATCAACTGGAATATCATACGGGTCTGCAGACTTGGCACTATTATTGCTGTAAGTTGGTAGATCAAGGGATCTGAGCACTATAGTACAAAACTGACTTAAAAACCTCACAAAAAGGGTAAAACATTGACTTAAAAAGTTCCTGAAAGTTAGGATGGCCAAAAATATGTTTCCTGTTCTTCCCCTTTAAGAGGCATATGTATCATACAAGATTTTTGCATGATGTGAAACCAAAATAAGATTGAAATTGATGTATTCACATATTTGTTTTGAATATATGTTTAATGTGATAGTCTGAATGACTTTCACATATTACATACACGTAAAATTTTCTGGAATATTTTTTTGGTTTTTGTTTTTTAAAAAGACACTAATGAAATCAGATCACTGTCCGTGTCTGGTGACTCTCATTTTCATATTAAAACATGTACTTTAATAAAACATCACAGGTCCTATAATCTGGACAATTTTTTTTCTTTTAAATTTCATACTGGTGTGGGTATCTGGTTGGAGTCTGGTTTTTACCTGTGTAGAAGAGGAAGCTGGTATGGTGTTTGGTTCTGAAATAGAATTCCACCCTGTCTGTCTGACTACTGATGGGATCCATGCCTTGTGCCATGAAATCATAGAAGATGTATTCCGACCCAAAGAAGGTTACCTCTGACTTCTTTGATTCTGTATGGAAAAAAAAATTAATCAAAACTACTATACCTTTAATCAAACCAATTATCTAAAAATAATGCAACATTTGTTTAAAAAAAAAAAAAATTCACTGCAGTCATCAATAAAAAAGTAATGAGGTGAAAACATTTTTGGTTAATTAATAAAAAAATACATGTTCTTTGAAATTGCAAATTTGCTCCTTCAGATACTAGATCTCTTCCTTGTCTTTAATTGTAAGCAATTAAATGCACATTTGATAAACCTTATCACCAATTCCCAGCAAGATGCTGACTGACAGAAACATTTTTGTGGCTTTCTTTTTTTGATAAGAAACCTCCCTGCGAAAAACGACGACTATTAGCTTAATTCATGTTCCTCATCATTCTAAAATGTAAACACTTCAAGATAGATTGCATGACATATTAATTTTCCCTCGAATCAAAAATTTCATTCTTAGAATATAGAGGATGTCAGAAAATGAATTTCCAAAGATAACAAACTTCAATTTTAACTGGGGAAAATCTCTGGCAGACTTACAATGACGTTTTCATATTAAACCACGCTATAGCCTCTGAATTATTTGTCAGATAGGCATCAGGAAACATGCGGGAGAAAAATATGAATTTTATGCTTCGATTTAATCTTTTATTTCTGGGAAAGAATAATCCAACAAACATAAACCTGAAAGCAATTTCCTATAAATTGCAGATAAAACTTCAATCAAATTTGAACATCAAATACTGTTTGTAATATGTATCGGAATTAAAATTTATCATTTTGTCTCTGTGCAGAGATTATAGCACTGCATGAATTTAAACTAATTCTTAATTGTTCGGTTGATCATTCTCTTTGATTATTCATAAACATTACACCCAAAATGAATTTAATTTTAATGAAAAATGATACTCCAGTATCTCACATAAAATGAAATTTTTATAGATGTACATTGATTTTACTTTTCTTTTTAATTCATTTGCATGAACAATGAGTATAACTTTATACACACACCTTAATGCATAGCTGAATTCATTGCTCACTTCAAGATGCCACTTAAAAATTTAAATCGAAGTCAGAGACAATGGCTGTTTTAAGATAAAATCTGAATTTGAATTTCAATGCAACATCAGTTTAAACAAAACTGCACCTTTCTCCTCTCTTGAATTATGTAACAATGAAAGAGATAACATTGCTTCTTTGATAACTTTGCATTTAAAAGTTCTGATATTTTCAGATGTGTATTTAAAGGGGCATAGACAATCACTCTGCATTGCTGTTTTCATTAAAATTTTGATTTCTATTTTAATTTGAAAACTATATAGCTTCAGGTTAATGATTTGAACTTAAATGAAAATTCTTAATACTCAATGACAACAATATTCATCAATGGTGTACTTTCGGTTTTGCTGGGACTCAAACTCAAGATCTACTGTGATCTGCTAATTATGCTCTCTCTAACACTTCAACTTGTTCTGTGTAAATGACAATTCATTAATTCACATCACACAATTTAAGATTTTAAGATGAAACACAGGCAATAGCAAGGAAACAATTCCTGACAAACTCTGGTGGTTCATGAATAGATTATAGAGATACACGTACATGGGGATAATTTGAGACATATTATTATTGTGCACCATACCTTTGGGGCAATGAAAGTCAAAAATCAAAAAATTTGTTAGTCGGGGCTTAAAGTCAAGTTATTCCTCCTTTTGACTTTTCTGTGGTCAAATTAAGCCTTAAAAGGAAAATTTAAATTTTTACAAATGAATTAAAGGAATTTAGTGAAATAAAAGTTTGGAGCAGTTTTTATATTTAAAACTTCAATGCAGCAAATACATTTATGGTATTCACAAAATCAAGTGAGCTAGTGTTAACGTTCCAACTAACAATACTCTCAGTAAACCAATTTTTATTTGCATGCAACAAATTTCAGCAAGTTTAGCACCCTTCTCCTATAGTTCCTAATATTTATTTAATTCATCATGTATTTATGTGTAGAATAATTCCTCAGTCACGAAAATTAGTGGTGGGGGATATAGATATATTTCAAACTGACAATTTGTGAATAAAAGTAATGTCGCAAATAATCATAATAGTTGGTCTGCAGTATAAATGAATTAACTGAAGGAACACTAGTATGACGTATGTCTCTCATGATGACGTACTGCATGAGAAGCCAAACATGTTTTGTTTCTACTTTTCTTTCATCCTCTTAATAGTTGAAGTAAAACACGTACAGGCCAGATATTGAAGTAAGAATTTGTTATCTAACATCACACTAATTAATTGTAAATTAATATCCTTTTGTTACAAGTGCTGCCTCTGAAACCATGCAGTTTTCAACAGTGGGACAATTAACCTTTTCCATCTTTTATCCCTCACGTGAAATATTTATTGATATTTTAAAAAATCTCAGAAAAAACATGCTATATAGCCAATTGCAATTGATCATAAAAAAAAGAACCGATTCCACAAAACTACTGGACCTGATTAAATTGTACCGTTTTGTTTATCACATTTTTTTTCATGTGCGCTGTATCAATACCATTGTGACTCCATGAATTTACCAACAATTATACTCCCCATCCACAAACCTCATCAGCAAACATCAAAGACCCCCACCAAGAGTAAATATAATTAATATCTCTCATTGATAATGAACATAATATCAGTGTGTTTATTGATTTAGGCTCTCTCCATTGTGGTGTTGACTATTACATGCAAGTGTATAAGGCCAAACACTTTGAAATCTTGGGGTCCCTTTTTTCAGGAGGTGAATAGTGTCGATAGTGCCGAGAACTTGCTTGAAATCCACTCGATAATGACGAACTTTTAGATCCTCCAGGCTAGTATTAAATCTGCCAAATTGCCTTAATGTTGCTAGTTCATGATCAGGTTAACCAATCAAAAACGGTGCACAAAAGAAAAAGAAGGAAAGTGACCCTGAACTAAGTTATGGGTACTTTGAGTCACCGCAATGAGTCATAACTTGAAATTCTTTACATCTTCAAAATGGAACAACTAAAATAAAATTTTATCCTGTAAACAGACAGACAGCATGTAAATATTTGAACCCAGTATAAACTGCTTTGTAGTAGTTTTGGGAGAATTTCATCTATAGCAGTATAATTACAGTCAAATCTCGCTATCTCGAACTTGAAAGAACCAAGAAAATACTTAAGATAACCAAGGATTTGAGATATATCCAGGGTAAAATACTTAAGGAATAAGTAGTTGGGACTTCAAAATGACTTCGAAACATCCATGGTATTCAAGACATCGGTGTTCGAGATACCGAAGTTCTGCTGTATTTTATATTGACGCTCCATGATGACTCACAGGACAACTTGATCAACAGAGGAGGAAGTAGAGAATATTACAAGTGTCTATCATCTTTCTTACAGCCCACTCACTCCAAAAGTACACAAAAATAAGTCTGCCAGTAAATAAATGACATTCTATAATTAAACTCTTTCAAGTCCCCATTCATTTCCTTAATAGCAATGTTTAATTCTCTGCTAGAACAGACTGAATAATAATTTTTTTTCCAAATCCAGACCCTTTTTAAAAAAAATCGAAAATAGTGACCATGCTTCAGATCCTTTGTGTTGAGCAATCTTTGAAAATATATATCAACAATTTCATTAACAAGGAATATCATCATATGAGTTCTGATAGTATCTTGTTAACCTACAATCAGGTACTTTACACACATTAGCCAACAAGAAATCTTTTCACATATTAATATCTTTACCAGCCAATCAGATTGCTCAAAATCTAAAATGTCTTTAAGCCAACTGGATAAAATCCCCATAAACCAATCAGATATCTTGTAAAAAATGTAATAACTCAAACTGCCAATCAGGTGCCTCGATCCTAACAAAATTAACATGTTGGCACTTTATCTTGGAGGGCTCCATCAATCAAAATTATGGAAAATTTAAAATTGTTAAAACAAGTAGTCCATAGGCTACAATACTCACCTGAATCGCAAAACTTGCTCTCTTTCTCTTGAATAAACATTGTGAGTTCCTTTTAAACCCTAGGGGGGGGGGGGGGGGGGGCTTGACATGAAGAAAATTGAATGTAAAAAAAAACATTGGGATGATTGAATATTGACATCATTTTGAAGAAATAAATGGATTTTTTTCCTGTTTGTGTGTGTGTTTTTGTTAGTTTGTTTTTAGGAGTAAAATTTTGAACCCCCAGCTGAGTTTCCATCCTAGCCATTTTGATCCATGCCCATGGTTGTAGAAAAAAATTTAATGACCCATCCATGCAACTTTCATTATTTCTTAAAGTTAAATTATCTTCTAGATTTTTAGAATACCCTGACTTAGCAATCAATAAAGTGTGTGTCTGATGCTCTTCAGTCAGGTGAGCCAAAAATATGAACATTTAACAATTTACATAGACTGTCTGTACGAGAATTTGTATGATATTATGTATGCAATTAAACCTGCATGTCACTTTGAAGGACATTTTGTGGAATTCTTCCCAGGTCTTAAATGTTGTTGCTCATAGAGTGCAGTCCAATTAAAAAATGGAACATTGTGGAAAGAAGTGGGAGATGTGTCCAACTCAGTTTCCCAGCAGATCAAGTATTATTTTATGACATAAAACAGTTCAATGGCTTAATCTTTAGAAAAGCAGTTATAATTCTAAGAAACAAATTGACTAGTGTGGAATGAACAAATAATCCTGTTAAATAAAATCATTTAATGGCTTTTTGTGAAATACTGCTTTGAATGATGTGGAAAGCAGATAAAATGTTCAGTGTATCAGCTCTATATTGTCGGAGAACAATATTGCATTCTCTCACAGGTAATCAATCATTTGTATTTGATGAAAAATCAAAAAAATGAATTCTAGCTCCAAAAAATTTTCAGGAGAACACATACAATTATAAATCCATTTCATGCTATCTGATCACAAATAGGGTTTGGTAGGACTTTCAATTGGTTTCCCATTTCTTCAGCAATGTAAAATTGATTAGATGACAAATAAGATGAATATGACAAAGAGTGTTCTGGTCTAGTTCCATGTTTGGGGGGTTGCCATAATTAAAGCTATGTTCAATAACCTAGTGTTGTTCTTTTTCGGAGCCGAAAAAAAGGATAAAAATCAGTTATCCAGTGTATTGAACATTTTCTCATCACTAAAATGTTTTGATGCATTGGCCTTGCAAATAATGACAGAATGACATAAAAAAAGAAAGAGATATTACAGAAATTACAGCGATATTAAACATTAAACTGCAGGAGTACAGCACTCAATATCACTACCATCAGGGTATTAGGAAGAAAATTTCTCCGAAATCATAGTTGTAAAACGTAGTCGGCAAGTTGACATGCAACTGTTCGATAACCTTCAGGGGAAATATTAAAGGATGTTCGCAAAGAATTATCTCTAGAAAAAATCATGATGAGGATGCACTCAACTACCTTTGAAAGGATCACAGCTAATTTCATGAAAATGCATTTAGATAATTATTTCAATAATTGCCTTTTTTGTGGCCAGGCAATCACATTTGATTCTACATTTTCAACAACAAAAAAACCACCTCTTGCGCATACTTTACATTTGCTCCTATTATCAATTAAATTTCTTTGTTTAAATTAAGTTGAACTTACTACAAATACCTTTTCAATATATTTCCTTAATAATAAATTTTTATATACTGTGGAGTCATATTTTCCCCTTTTTTTGTGCAGAGGAGGAGTGGTGGTGTCAATTTTTGTGGATTTTGTGAGTATACCCACTAACCCACAAATTTCCATTCTACATGGATATTGTTCAAATTAGGCCATTCCAAGTTTTTTCTATGTTTAGCGTCCACCCTTCTTTCTAAAACCTACCTACCTATTCACAAAAAAAAACACACAAACAAAAAATTAAAACACAAGACTTTATATAGTCATAAAATGGACATCATTCAAAGGTTTCATTTTGTTAATCTATTTCTACTCGTAGAAATATCTATTCTTCAGCAAAATCAAGGTTATAAATGCTTACAATATTCCTAATATGGCATACTGTAGACAAATATTTAGAGAAAATGACGGAATTCAGGGATTTCGACCAGAATAATCAATTTCAGGACACCTGATTTTGTTTGTTTTTTCTGATATGGGGTGTCAAAAACCAAGGCGCACGCGGACGCTAAACATAGAAAAAACTTGGAATGGCCTTAGGCTACATTAACTTTCATAAAGAGACAATTGCCCACACAAATAATGCTTCCAAAACCCAAAAATTCAAAGCAATCAATAAAAATTGGCCCCTCAAATTAAAATGAATCTACAGCATTGATAATCCCTTTAATCTTACCAGTAAACTATATAATGCAGGATAATTTTTATCATTTTATGGATTACCATGCATAACTCCCACCTCATATAAGTGATCATTTCTTCCATATTTCCTATTTATCTTGGAATTCTTTTACAGAGAAACAGTTTTTTAATTTAATCATTATGGATTATACGTAATACAGTATATTTGAGATTTTTTTTTTGCTTATAACCTCATTGTTGAATGACCTTGAAATCTTGTATTAATTCAAAACTGAAGATCAAATCCAATAATTCTAGCAAATTAAGGATGCTAAAAGTAAATCAAACCAGAAACTTTGCAAGTATTGTGTATATTGTGTGTGTAACCCCAAACTGACCTTTCCCCATTTCCATGGCAACAGTGGCCATTTTGAATATTGCACGCACAACTTCACTTTGTGGTTATTATAATTACTGAAAAGTTTCATTAAGTTTGTCAAGCCATCTGTAAGAACTCTTGCGGTCAAAATTAGGTGGAACATTAACAATATGTTCCCTAACTTCATTCAGAGTGACATAATAAATCTAAACCAAATACTGGTACACAACCCTAAATCTTTAATACAACTTACCAATTTCACAAAACTTTCCTTCATAATCAGTCCTGCTGCAGTCACAGGTGGTCTGTGTATCTCTAGTGATGCAAACCCCTCCATTTTTACACAGGTGACGTGAGCAAAGATTTGTCTCCCCCACAATTCCACTAGAATCCAGCATCTCTGGCCGAATCAGCGACTCCCCACAATTACTGTACAAAACATTACGAACATATCCATTCAGGAATGGTTGGTATATAACATGCTGCAAAGTCAGGTCTGATTGTCTGTCATTGTAAAGTGAGGGAAGACCTCCGATAAATACAGGACTGTTTCTCCCACGGCCAAATTCTAAGTTACGTCCATAAAACTCTTGGGACGTAGACAGTTGATCCACCGTTAGCGTCACTGTCCTTCCCTGTCTAAACATACCAACCTTGTGCCACCGACTGTCATTCAAATTGTTCCCTAAATTCAATCTAACCTGGCTCCCCCCTAAATTGACCTTCAATTGAAGAGCCCCAACCAGCAGGGATAACTCAAAGTAATCTGTAAATCCCCCATCGTCTGTGTAAAGAAGTAGGGCACTGGCCATGGAAGTTTGAAATTCAAAATGCAGCGATCCATTTTGACATGGTTTCCATTTCTGGAATTTTGCATAGGAAGAGGAAGATCCTTCTAGCTTGAAGCTTGATATGGAGGACAGAGAAACTAAAAACAAAAAACCATGAAGAACACAAGAGGTGGAGTATTCAGGCGACATCATCACTGATAATGAACCTCACAGCCTATCGATTCTACAAGTCTTTTTTCAAGTCTTAATTATTTTTAACTGCTGCAGGAAAAAAACAACACAGTCATCTTTTTTTTTCTTCACTTGGAATATAATTGGAGTTGTTGAGTAATTATTCCTATTGATTGTATTTTCAGATCAAGGCTCACTATCTATAGTATATCCAGGCATGATGTGGATACTCCACACTCCACTTTGATTGTGTAACACTACAAGGACAGACTTGCTTTTATCTGTGCGATTCCTTGAGGCCTCTGCTCATGACACGGAATTCAGAGTCGGATTTCCTCTTGTGGTACCACATCTATAAGGCATGTTGTCTCTTTACCATGCATCAATTATTGACAGTTTCACACTTTAATGTGATGTACCTGTAAACATGAAACAGAAAAATCAGTTGACTCGTACTTTCTAGTTATGGTTATTGTCACATGTATATCTCTGAGGAATTTCATAATTAACAAGGTGAGATTACATGGACACATTACAATTAATTGATATACCATCACCATAGTTCCCATAACATTGTCACACAGAGATTGTAAAGCACCAATGATCAGGATCCATTCTTATGTAACCATATTCTTGTACTTGTCTCATGCTATCAGAAAAATTACCGTTTTTGAAAAAAGGAGGTACATAAAACATCTTTTTATCTGGTATTCTATTGATTTATAGAAATGTGATTTTTAAAAATATTTGAATTGACCAAGAGAACAATTTTGACAGACATGACTTAGAGTTTATGTTCAAGTAATAATGGTCCTTGTCCTAAGTCCTTTTCTTAAATAGGTCACTGAATATCTAATAGAACATGTTATGGACTTCCATAATAGATAGAATTTGATCCCTAATCAGACCCACTAAATCAGAAGGTGAAATACATTAAATTCATTCCATTTATAGACAGGGATCTGAAAAATTATGTCTTTTACTGAACATTGAACCAAACTGCTGCTTTAGTCGTTGACGCTGTAACAATTAAGTGTTTGGGTCTTAAGGTCAAAGTAAACTATAGAAGTCCTCAAACACTGTTAGTAAATGAATAAAGTTAAGCTGAAACAACCTAATTCAGGGAATTTATGTCTCCTGCATAAGGATAAATGATTATTTAATATATTATCCAGAAGCACAGTAACAGTATACAAGTTTGTGACCTTGACCTTTGACCCTCCCTCCTCAAAATCAATAGGGGCCATGTTTTACTTATACATGTAGACAGTATAAATTGAATTTAGAAACCATTCCATACCATATATGACCCTGACCTTTATTGCTTTAAGTTTTCACCTTATATGAATTTATGACCTTGACCTTTGGACTTCAAAATCAAAAGGATCTTCTCTGAGCGATAGGGAGAAAGACAGACAGATAGACTGAGCCAAAGTAATATCTCTCCCTTATAGTAAAACAGGGGAATGTAAAAAGAAGAAATTAAATGTATTTATTTAATAACAGTGGAATAAAATAAAGTATATCCCTTGGCTCTTGTTGTTTGAAAAAAAAACATGCATGAAATTTGTCAAAAGTATATATAGAAATTGTTAACAAATCCTAAGTGTGAATTCTATTTGTGGAACCAGGTCCAAAATTTACAGCACCTACATGTATCATCCCAGAATTTTTGCAGAGATCTGTGGGCAGATGCTTACCCTTTGCTGTGTTCAATCAAGAAATGTCCGATTTTCTATTGATCCTAACGTTCCGTTACTTTGAAGCTTTCCTTAGTGCGAGATGTCAGATTCATCTGGGCTTTTGGTTTATTAGATTCTCTATAGAAATAAAGGATATGCCATCTTCCAGCACATTGTCAGCTTCCTCTAATGGTGTAAGCAAGGCGCATTATCTTGTTTGTGACCTGCAATGCAATCAGTAAGTGTATATTAACGTATTATCAAAGACTGGTCCAAAAATCTTACTTAAGAAATGTGTGAAACCAGAGACCAAAGAGATTTAAATTTACTAGTCCACTAGAAAAGACTTCATAAATCTAATTAGAGAAGCCTATGCAAAAGTGATGTTCACACATATAATGTGTTAATATGAATTCCTACTGTTGTTCAAGTGTGAACTGAAGAGAAAAACTATGAGCGCTCCTGTACAGTAATGAGCGCTATATGATTACAGAAGCTTGAAAATACATAATCAAAGTGTTCGATCAGTATTAGTGAGAAAAGTCTTGAATCTACAGAAGACACTTTATGACACCTTAAGTTAAATCTAATATCACTTCTAAACACCTTAAGTTAATTTAATATCACTTCTAAAATAAAAAATTTCAAGCATAGCTAGACCATGATTATTAATTAATAAAAAAGGCATATTAAACTGGTATCCCCTTCTCCTGAATTACGGTAAATAAATCATACAAATTTCAATGGACTTCAATATCTCTTTGGGAATTGCGGGTCTTCAGGAGAGAAATATCGTTTCACCATAAAAACTCCCACTTCTCTCACATTTCTTGGCCTGACTTCATATTAAACAATGCGATAAGGTTACACACACCCACCTAAGTTTTTTAATCCATGCATTCTGACATATATGGTACTCTTAATCTAATAACTGTGTAGCATTTAGTAGTCTGTCCTTTATCATTATCTGAATGCTTCTTGACAAATGTACTCGACTGAATTATTAACAGAATATATTGTTGTTATAAATTCAAATATCACACCTCAGTGCTCCGAGTCACACTTACTATCAGGTCGCTAAAAGGCGACCCAAAAACTTTTTTGGTCGCAATTTCAGAATTTCTGGTCTCAATCAAAAGATATTTAACTCGCGATGTATATGTACATGCATGTATAATGTCTTTTTTAAATCAATTTAAGATTACTTATTACTGTGATTTACTGGGCTGAAAGAACCACTTATTATGAAATATTATTACATAGAACCACACATATGGTTGTATACAGAAGAACACAAGTGATTTATCTTAGAATTAACATTAAATCCAATAAAATTCCTACAATTTGACTGATGTGTGCATCAGGTAGAAACTTTGAAATAGGACTTTGTCATCTATTTTTCATGTTTTTCACGTACCTATAAACATATAATAAACAGTTGATTTTAAAATCATCAAAACATGGTGATATGCAAGCATTATTGACCAATGCTCCTTTAATAAGTTGGGTTTTAAGAAGTCTACGACATTTGGCAGCCGATCATGCAGTCACAACATTATGTAATCTCAGTCTTTGCGACGCTTTACAAAATTTTATAGGGTACAAAACACAGTTTTATGTATGACGTTATCATGACGTTCCTAAATGAGGGACATGCTAAAGTGACCCCCATAAAGAAATATGAAGGCTTGTTACATAGACATCTACATATCAATTGAAAGATAAAATGGTGAATTTTATAAATATAAAAATATTCTGCATTCATAACTTACTAATAAGGTGTATTTGACACATGAATCATGAGGGGAATAGGGAAGTTTATATGTCTAATCATAGTTACACCTATGCATTTTTAGCTCCCTTTAATCACAAACAATGCAGGAATCAGAAAATATAAGTGCTATGCATTTCACAGAACAAGTCCTTATAGGTTCCTTTTTGTTGTACTTTTAGGGTACATTTTCAAGTTTTATAAAGAGCTACTTTACCTGCTATTCAAATCATGCAATGTGATCTGCATGTGTGAAAAATGGGAGTTTTTAGTTATAAATTCTCCCACTATTAAAAAGTCACACAAAAATTAATTCCCAAAAAATATTTGTATACTTTTTTCATTAATCTTAAGATAAGACTCTACTTTATGCAAATAAAAATTAAAAAGCTGCAATTTTCATGTACATTGCATAAAAATAGCAGGAAATCCACAAGATGAAGCTCTGCGATTCAGTTATATGTTAACTGAAAGGTGACTAGAAGTCTACTAAAAGGTGAATGAATGGCAGAGCTCTGCCATTCAGTGACTTTTTCAGACCTTTTCAGTGACCATTCGGTTGACTGAATAGCATAGGTTCATCCTGTGATCCCTACCTCTGAGAAACCCCCCCTGGATTTTATATGAAACTGTGTTTAGCTACCTTAGGAATGTCTTCAAACATTTTCTTGATAGCGAATCTTGGAAAAAAATAATCTCGATCCTAATCATAAAAAAATGGATCATTGCTGGCCCATATTTTCTCAGTAGTGAAAATGCAAGTTCTATTCGCAAAATAAATTTTTGGGTTGCAAATGCGACCATTTTAGTCACAATTTGGAGCACTGTCACCTTGCTAGTATTATAATTTTTCATGTTTTTCTTTTTTTTTTTTTAAGTATGATAAAATCTCAGTGGTAATCATGGTAATCCAAAAAATATATGAAACAATTTATCATAATTCACTAATGACATAGATTGTATTTAAGATTCCACAGTTGTACCTTTTATATGAACATACATGTATACTGGTCAATCACTAATATGACATCGCAAAAATAACTTAATTATTTGTGAAAAAAATTTATATAATCATTTACAATATTTAGTAGTAAAAGAATCTTGATGAACATATGCATTAATAAATGGACATTTTTACACAATTTTATCACACAGATAATTTTTCACAATTCATTAATTAATGTGCATTCTTCCTGTATGACAACTAGCTGTGCAGTGCTAATTAATGTACAATAATCATCCAATGCTTAATTAGATAACCAACAAATTCTCCCATTAAAAATTATTAATTTTCATACCTATACATCTTTTTTTTTAGAGTATCCATTATAAACCATTAAGCAACCTAAATACTGCATATAACTGGATCACAATAGAGCTAATATAATTGAGAGTATCCTTTCTAATCTGTGAAAAATGACTGAGAAGCCACAGCAAAATGATTCCAAACTCAGCAACGACATGTAGAGAGAATAATGTCAATCTTACCAATCAGTGCCGAGTTTAAGCCTTCCCCAATCAATGACACAGCATCGCTGAATCAGACACTATTTACTACAAGGAAAAACAATGTTGATGGCAGTGGTCCACGATTGGATGATTCAGAGGATAGCAGAGAGGGGCCTATTGACCAGTGCAGAGCCTGCATCACAGTGTAGATATTGTCCTACCACAGTGCCACTTCTAAGCGAGGTGGTAAGCATGTGTAGAGAGAGAGAGAGAGAGAGTCAGGAGGAAATTTTTGCCAATACCATTACTGTATATACCAAGAATAAATCAGGTATTGGAAACTCACTTAATCTTGCATAAACAGTCGGCATTATCAATCAGGCATCAAGAGGTGACGTATAAGACTCCAGGCTGGCCCTCACTCAATTCCACCTGTCTAACGGGGAGAGTTCCATGAAATACCTCCATCTGACGATTAATTGTTAATTAAACAAAACTCACTGCTCAAAATCACCTGCTTTAGAGTATTCTAAAACTAATCAATACAGATTCTCCAATGTGTCTTATATATACCAGACGTAACAGCGCAGTTTCAGTGATAAAGATGTATATGACAGCAACAAGAAACTTCAATATTTCTTTGTCAATTCTACTCTGATGTTAATTCTACAGTGATGCTGAGTCAAATATTCTCAGATTTCCAGAGGATTATGTCAACCCTATCACATTTTGTCACCCAGTTCATCATTCTGTAAGCCTTAGACTATAATTAAATCCCCACATGAAAAATCCACTGCACTTAATCCTAGCCTGCCCTAATGAGAATCTGAGTGACATTAAATATTTCAGATGAAATCGGGAATGATCTTTTTTTTTAATGATTAAACTCAGCTTTCAGTACATAATATCAACTAAGATCATGTACATATTTTTCTAATGAGACTCTTCACTATATATATGAACTTCAATCAAATTATATCTATTTAGTGTATTAGTACACTAACAATTAAACAACATGAAAAAAGTTGAGTTGGTTTTCGAGCATTAAATTAATATACATCATGTGCCCTTTTAAAAGTAAAGTTGTGGGGTGCCTCTGGGTGTCTTGAACCATGGTTCCTCAACTGATGCTTATCACTGCTTAGTCAGGTTTAATTCTGTATAGAATGCAAAAAGCTATGTGCTTTTATATTCATTGTGGTGATATTTATGTCTGTGTATAACTTTCTTAATACTAATTTATTTTACTGTAGACTAGTGAGATAAAAGTCTGACTTCAAAATAAAAAATTAAAATGTTAATTTTCAAAAAAAATTCAAATACTGAAATGTTACAGCTAGGCTAAGCACTCTGCAAGTGCATTTTAATAATTAACAAACTCTTTTAGTACCTTCAGAAACAAAAGCAAAACCCTTAACATGGCACACATTTTCATTACCAATTCTGTCTGATTACAGGCTTGGAACAATTGACCAAGATCTTTCAGATAATTACATGTAACTGCACTGATGTCGCAATTTAATGTGCAATTTTTACTATCAACAGTTCCAGCACAATGGAAGCATTATGGCATTTTAATGCATATTGATTAAAGCTAGCACTCAAAAAGGTAAAAATAAAGAGTAAATATTTTATCTTACACTCCAAAAACTTGGGTAGGAATGAAAGTATTTACACAATAAAAGTTATATCAGAGCTAAACCATGGAGATTCAAATCTGTATGTTGCATCTTCTTCATAAATAATAAAAGCAGCAATTTTCAACTCAAAGGAGTGTTTTTAAGGTTCTTTGATTTTTAATTTGATCCAGGGATTAAAACAAATTCTTCCTTTAATTATCACTGCATGAGCTAGGCTTAATTACCGAGATTTGTCAGCTAAAAGTCTACACGAGGAAAATTTAGCTTTAAGTATTAAGACTGTTAATATATCTTTTTTTACTTAGAAATTAAAACTGCCAATTTTCTAAGACTAACATTTCTTTCATTTCCAAGATTTTTTTTTATGTGTGTGAATTAAGGCTTAGAATTTGCATCTTCTGTCATGAGTCCATTTATTCAGGACAAAATCAGTTTGATTAATTCTCTTGCTTTTCACATGACAATTTTTTGAAACTGGATTTGAAAGATTTTTTTTTTATTATTTTTGTTGTTGAAATGATTACCTTTGAAAAAAAAAAGCTACAGAGAAAAAAAGTAAAGCATTTCATCTCATTGCAATACATTTATAGCAGATACAACCCCCTCCACTTCACTTCTGATTGAAAAGCACTCTGTAAAATTATTTGTCCTTCCACAAACTTTACCAAGTTTACAAATATGTGGGAACAATTCACATCGATATCTGTGCTATTATAGAGAATTCTGTCATATTTAAACAAGACAGAAAAAGCAATTGTTAAACCGCTATCTGACTGTGACTCGAGATGGATTAGATTCTATAAAAATACAACATTGATCAGAGCTTCCCACACAAACTTTAATTCAATACAACATACCCATACATTAATTTTATACTGACTTCACCACCCAGTGTAATGTGTACATTCTTAATTTGAATAAAATTTATGAAAATTAATGAGTCAATGTGCTTTAAATTAAATTACAGATTTTCATTTTCATGAAAGATTAGAAATGATTCATATTTCCATGTAAGCACAAAGAAATTTGTGAAACATGCATGGAGAAAAGAAAAATTCAATCTTGAAATGCTAAATGTGCAAAGAAATCTATGATTTTTCACGAGGGGGAAAAAATTTAAATCTATAACATTTGTTGATGCATGTATCATCTTCATCAATACTGTAAAATAAAAAATCTCAAAACTGAAAGTGGAAAGACTCCCTTAGGATTGGTATAAAGTGGGAGTCGCCAATAATTCAAGGACATGACAGAAACTTTATTCCTTTCTTTTTTCTCTCATTCTGCAGTCAGCTCTTTTTTCTCTCATTCTGCAGTCAGCGTACAATTATATGCAATTCATGCAAAACAATCTATCAGGCCTAACGAAAAACAATACCAAGGGGATGCTGGTATGTACAAAAACAAATTTACTGGTGGATGTCGATAGAAAACTTGTCTTGAAGACTATTGTCAGATCTAAGAATTAAGTTTTTGTCATGCAATGCACGTCTCGGAATTCCTCAGAACAGAGACGGGCTATAAAGCCCCGCAAACAAGCCCGCGTAGTCCGGAGTGAAGACACCGTATTGATCAGAACGAAGACAAGAAAAGGAATTTACAGAGTTCAGTCAGGCAACATAGTCTTTGATACCACAACTCATTGGGAAATAGTGTACATTCCAGGCAATTACAGCTGGATTATTTTAAGTCAACCTACAACACACTCAATCATGCAATGGTTTAATTAAAACATTCTTTAGTATAATGAACATAGAATTATAGTATATCAATATTCTTTTTTTATGCTTATACATGTATTTTGCACAACTATGGGTTAATTAGTTGGTAAGTGGAGGTTCTGTATATAAGGACTTGTACTAATATTAACACATTGGTACACAGTAGAGTCATCAATAATTACTTAAATCCATGCAGCAAATTCAATTTTGACCTGAAATGACATTTAATTCATACAGGTTCATAGAAACTTTTTGTCAATTGCTAAAATAAAAAAAAAACAGGTAGGTCTTATATAGCTGTTTCATGCTCATTATTTTTTTTTTTTTACATTTAATTTTTTTAATTTTTGGTTCTTTGCTTCTTCTGTTTCTCTGTACTGCTGAACTTAATTTGCTACTAATACTAATAACCTCTGAAATATAATTATGGCAAAATCTATAACACAGTGACACCTCTAGATCCCTGACACTTTATCAACTGCAGCAATTATTTAATATTTAAACGGTGATAATTTACCCATTGTGAAAACTGATCCAAAGCCTCTCTAGCTAGTACTGGTTTGTAACACATATACTTAATCCTACTGGACCTCTAATTTACTTCTAAAAATTGTACCTAAAGAAAAACTACAGGGCAAAAGACAGGTGTGTTCCTCAGGTGTTAATGACCCTGGCATGATTAATGATGACCAATAGATACTGTGGAAGGACTAGATGCCAAGGGACCCGCTATCACTTGATTTACCTCACTCCCACCTATCATTATAGCATCCATTATTGATGAGGATGCTGTGTTTTACTAGATATATACAGACCAGCAATACATCAAGTGAATATCAAATTAAAAAAGCACAGTTTTATAAAGCAGAAATAGACAAAGATGGAGAAATAAGGAATTTAATTACCACTCTCAGATCCATAAATGTTAATGATTTTGACTTAATTATTTGTTCTTTTTTGGTTCTTTAAGATTAAGATGAACTGAACTTTTGCTTTTAATTGGATCATAAAGATCTATATATTTTTTCATTGATTTTTTTTTTTTTATCTAACACAAAATTGTCCAAAGCTTTAGATAACTCAGGATGATCACTTACACAGATAAACATTGACATTCAGTAATTTAGCGTACTCTTACTATATAGCTTAATTCATATTCAAGTAATATAAGGCATTCTAAGGTAACAATGAACATCAACATTTTTGGCATGTTAGCTTTAATAAACTAGGGCTAAGAAGCTATAACATTGTACTATTAAATGTGAGCATCATGATCAAAGACCAAAGAAAAATTCTATAGTGCTTAAATTACACAAGCATTCTTTACAACAGAAATAGAAATCTAAGTGAATCTTATCAATGACTCAATCTTGTGAAAAATAGTTTTAATATGCATAAAACAATGATAGGCAAACCTCGAACTCAGATTGTTGTAAAAAATAATGATAAAACAATTAAATGGCAAACCTTATGCACATCTGATGCTTTTAACTTTTTAGTAGCAATTGATATTTTCTTGTGAATTTATCCTCTGATAAAAAAAAAACACCTCGTTCTAAGAGACTTTTTGTATGTTCGAAGAAAGTAAGGGTCTTGTGTAAGATGTCATCACAGATAACTTGTGTGATGATTATCAGAACCTGCTGTCATCACCCATAAACATAAAACGCCCCTAATGTCTTTAAGAGTCTGTCGAGATAAGATTCCGGGGAATCAATCCAACACTTGTCATGCTATATAGAACTGTGCTGTTTTCACCATTAGAAAAGATTACCGA